AGCCTAAACCATTGTGACTAAATCAGAGCTGAGTCTGAGGAGTAAGTAAGACACATCTGCGGTCATGAGTCGTGACAAACCTGGGTATAAGCGGCTGAAATGGGGTTTCTAAGACGAATTGCCAGCCTCACGCCTTTCGACATGGTCCAGAGTACAGATATCCGAGAAAACCTTGATGTACAGCCGCTGCCTCTTCAGATTGAAAAATCACAGATGCGCTGGTTTGATCACGTTACGAATTTCTCCAATAAGGAAGACAAAGAAGTTACTACTTGCGCAACCGACCGGCAGAAGACCCGGGGGAATGGCCGAAATTAACCTCGAGAACGAGTATTGGGGAAATCTGCTCTAGACTCGTTGTCTTTGCCGAACCTGAAACGTTTGCATAGGATCAGAAACGTTGGATGCACTGTCAGACGCGTTGTCTCCGGCGATCAAGGAACTTGAATTTAATATCTTGTGTAAGTACCAGTAGCTATCCTTGAATACCTATTCCATGGTGAACGTTTATTTATTCGAGAATCGTTGAAACTACTTTTTTGAATTCCACATATAAACACGATTGAACTTCGTTGCAAACAGCAAATCTCCTTTACGACGATTTTTTTTGAAATTGGAAAAATAGTTAATGGACAGTTTTTATTGCTTAACTGCTGTAATAATCATGTTCATTGATGCTTAGCTTTACTGATTTTTTCGACCTCTGGAACGATGTACCTGTAGGATTTTAGCTTTTGTACGTATTATTGCTATACGACGTGGTCATTATATAAACTCTTCTATTGTACCTTATGGCAGCCTTTCTGTCAGCAAGCTGAGACTTTGTAAACAGAAGGGTTTGTCTGCGTTCAAAGTATCAAGGACATTAGATACGTTATTGACAGTTCATTTACACACCAGAAATGGATTAGATCTTTCCGCATACAACCGTACTAACTGCCTATCTTCTCAACGAAAAACCAAAATTTTTGTAGATTCTGTAAAGGTAGTTTAAATAGCCTATAAGAGCGAAATGATCCTGAGCCCTAGAACCTTTTTTTCATAAAAATAAAACAATTATTTTTTAGCGCAAAAACTTAATTGCTTTCTTCGACCTTGCGTACCAGGGATTCGCATCCGGTGATTTCGATAACGATGCCTGGGCTCCCCGATATTTTGCGGAGCAAAACTTGGAAATTCTAGTTGCGCAGTCGTTCTCCAAGAATTTTGGTCTCTACAGTAAGTGCTTAAAGTTTGCAGTCTACCATCTTACAGAAACTATTTGAATTAGTTTTTATGCAATTGTTGCAATTCCTATTCACTGATACACTGTTCATGTGATTATCAGTGCAATTTATGTGGTAACTACATAACTTTATAACATTCTAGTCTAAATTTGGTAGGTATTTTTCATGTTTTATCTTTGGTTTTTTGGTACTTTTTACGTTTTTAGATGAAAGAGTAGGCAACCTTTCCTTTGTGGTGAAAGACAAGTCAGTGATTACAGCATGTAAGTCGCAGTTGACGTTGCTGGTGCGAGCAAACTGGTCGAATCCACCCAATCACGGCAGTCTGATAGTCGAAACGGTGCTGTCTGACCCTGGCTTGCGTGAGAAGTGGTGAATAATTCAGCCCCTAGCTTTCCATCGTTGTCCTCTCACTTGCTTTTTTAGGCTAGATAACGTCCACGTCATGGCGTCACGCATTAAAGACACGCGCAAACTGCTACGACAGAAGCTGGAAGAACTAAAGACTCCTGGCAGCTGGAGTCATATCACTGAACAAATAGGAATGTTTTCGTTCACCGGTCTTAACGGTAACTTTTGCCTGTTTTCAACAGTTAATCCGTTGAATTCAATATAAGCATAGCAGTGTACGAATCAGTATGCAGTGAAGTAGCTTCAGACTTAATACGAGTCCATTAAATGTATCGCTCGTTATATTGTGGGCAGTAGTAGACACTCGGAAGCATCCCCCATCAAAAACTGTGCCTAGTGAATGTCTTTAATTGAACTAGATTACAGTATATATCAGTTTCAGTCTACACAAATACAGCTCTACGTTGTTTGTGCGTTGACGTTTAGACTGCGCAAATGATGTCCGTTGTTGAATCAATGCATTATACAAGGCAATCGATAAATAGCCATTAATAGTGTGTGTAGATGAAACTGAAAGGCATATTAAAATTTATTTCAGAAATTAAGAACTTATGCACATTTCTTTTCTTTGCGGGCTTTTCCCGGTTCCTTTTGAAAGTTTTATAAAAACCTATGGTGTGATAGTGTAGTAACATTTATTGAACAGCAAAAGGCAGTAGCGTTTCTATCACATCTAAATTTTGTTTGCTTCCTAATAACTAGCAAAAATAGTTGCGACTTCTATGGCAACGTTTCTAGGTTTGTCTTTTTCAAAGAAAGTTTTCCTGGCACATTGCACCGCTTTCTCGTATCTAGATGCGCAGGTAGACGATTTAAATGTAATTCAAGAGTAAAACATTTGAGCAGTTGCAGCATCGTGTGAAATACGCCGTGAAATCCGATTCTGAAGGGATTACGCTACTCTGGCGTACTTTCATTTTTGGAAAGCATGTAATTAGTATCCGCGTCTGAAACATCACTGGTGTAAATTTTTGTTGACTTTAAATTCAAATTTAAATTATTTTTTCGCTTTCGAAGTTGATTCCCGAGTAGTCATTTGACTTTCAGACTTTTTATTTACAACGATTTATTTGGAAGACTCACTTTTTCAATGACTGCTTTCAAGCCAAAATTATAATTACCTTACTGTAATAAAGTTTAACTTTATTATTATTGAAGCTTACAGTTATTCAATGCAATTTAGGGCGTTCTTACAGTTATTCAGTGTTATTTCTACACCGTTTGTTCATTTTTTATAGTTTAACGTTTTCCTAACAACATGTGATTCCTGAGGTTATTTCACGTAGTGCTCAAATGTCCGTTGCCGCACACTAAATGAAATCGCACTTCTCTCACGATGCTCGCGTCACGTGTATATGTTCAAAAATCGGTTCGATCTTTTGCTGCAGTCAAATGATTCATGAATGCAGACGGCTACCTCTACGTTTTAGTTGCCATTTCAGCATCCTTCTCCCATGGATTTTTTTCAATGAGTAATTTTCACGTTGAGCTTGGACTGCCGAAAAACACACAAGAGCAACAGCAAAGCGTAGTGGGTAGACCGGGTCTGCAAAACGCATCCAATCGTAGGAAAACTGATACAGAATATTTTCCTGCCATACCATACATGCTATCATGTCCTCAATATTTGTTCTGTAAATTTTGATCATTGATTCTTGGTGAACAGTACAAAGTTCTTAATGCCTTTTACTTTTAGCTAAACAAGTTGAATATCTGAGAGAGCACTACCACATCTACATGTTGGGAAATGGCAGGATCAACATGTGTGGCATTACAACTAAAAACATCGACTACGTTGCAAAAGCGTTTCATGAAGCCGTTGTTAAAGTTCAGTAACCGTTATTACGAAGTTTTACTTTTTTAGAGATTAATGAATTGATTATTTCCCCTATAGCATACTTCATGCTTAATTAGTAATCGATAAGCTTTCTTTAGCAGAATATTATTTTTTATTAACATGTCTGTACAAGCTGTATTCCAGGCCAAACTATTTCTAGTCAGACCTGTTTCGCATATTTATTTGAATTACCGTTGCCATTGACTACTGCGAAAAAGTATTTATTTTTGGAAAAAGTAAAATCCGCCATCAGTTTCCATCGAAATCCAAATGTGGATCGTTTCGAGAAGGCAGGTCACTAACCAGATGAAGGTTGCCGCTTACACAAGTTCATCTTTATACTTCACTATGATACTTAAAAAACTTCAACGTATTTCGCACTAAATTCGAACTTAATGATAAATGATTAAACATACTTCGAAATTTCTCGGCTTTGAATAAAGGCACCTTATAGCTTTGATTCGTGCGAATAATAAAGTAACGGTAAGTTAATTTAATTTAACTGATCGTGCGCATGAAAAGCCAGTGACAATATAGGTTGGAATATCGATTCTGAGACCGCATACTGAACTTGCTGAAATTGAAGTCTACTCGCAAGTCTGCTTGCTATAACTTGCTCACCATTGCAACAGTGAAAGAAATTCGCATTTACAACTTTTGTTATTTGCACGTTACTACTGTCACTTATTTTGTTAAAAATAACGTAATGACCCATTTTTAATATTTATGTTAGAATATACTAGCTCTTAATGAACCGTCTTTGTTAAGCAAACGGGGTTGTTCTAGCAGAAAAAATAGTCAAAGTGCATTTAACCTATAGATGCTCGACAACATTACGCCGTTGTTAGTTTTGATGCTTCGGAACAACGAGAAGAACGGGGAAAGTGTAATACGCTATGACATTCGGTTTTCGATGAGAAAGCGGCTAGCTTTTCGGCTGCACTTCATAATTCTTCAGAAACGTACTTTTCGCGAAGGCCCATCGCTATTTGCGAACTGAATGTCTTGTAAAGAATTTGACGCAGAAGGCATCATTATCATTGATGTAGGATATTTACATGATTTACTACGCAATCTAACCCTACGGAGAAAGCTGCCATTAAGCTTTTCTCGTTCGATACATCCAAGCGATTAGACTTGAACTGCCTACGCTGGTGTGTGGACTTGCTCATTCGAATTTATCCTGAACGAAGATGGCTTCATATACAGTGCAGAGCAATATTAACACTGGTGATGGCCCAATAATATAAAATATTCTGATCAGGTTCTTCAGCTACGTCTTCAAACGCTGTCTATTCAAAAATAATGAGTTGGAAGGCATAGAAGTTCGTTCAGAGTTTCAGAATTTGGAACTTTCAAAAAAAATAGCTGATGAATGTACAAAAATTTTGCAGGTTCTTGTCTGATGGTATCAGAATCAAAAATCAACAACGGGTCCAGAATCAGAACTGTTCGATCTCATTTTGTGAATGAAAGATTAGTGTTACAGAAATCCTAACTTCTGCAAAGCAAAATATCTTCAGTTAGATAGTGATCGCTTTTGAATCATTTTTCATCATTGATAAAGGTAATGCAACGTGTTTTCGCCAGTTTTAATGACGAAAATGGAATCCAATATAAAAGGATGAATGGGGCAAATATAGTGGTTAGGGAAACAAACAACGTTTCATTTCAAGCTAAATCAGGATATTCTTCTGGCGGCAAGCTATACGCACAGCAGATCGGACACGCGTGCTTTGCTGTCAACCACTGTGT